ACCCGCCGTCGCCGCCCGGGAGCCGCCGCTGCCGCCGCCGCCACAGCCGCCGGCGCCGCCACAGCAGCAGCAGCCGCCGCCGCCGCAGCCACAGCCGCCGCCGGAGGGGGGCGCGGCGCGGGCCGGCGGCGCGGCGCGGCCCGTGAGCCTGCGGGAAGTCGTGCGCTACCTCGGGGGCAGCGGCGGCGCCGGCGGTCGCCTGACCCGCGGTCGCGTGCAAGGGCTGCTGGAGGAGGAGGCGGCGGCGCGGGGCCGCCTGGAGCGCACCCGTCTCGGAGCGCTAGCGCTGCCCCGCGGGGACAGGCCCGGACGGGCGCCGCCGGCCGCCAGCGCCCGCCCGTCTCGGAGCAAGGTGAGCGCGCCGGGGAGCGGGGGCGCCGCGCGGTGGGCAGGTGCGGGCGAAGTTCGTGGCGGGGGTGCGAGTCCCGGGAGGAACTGGGTGGCGGGTGGCTGGGGCTTTTCGCGCGTTTCCTGCGGGTTTAGTTCGTGGTGACCTTGGCAAGTGGCTGAATCTCCCGGAGCCTCAGTTTCCTTCGCTGTAAACGCGGCTTAGTAACAGTAGCGACCCCTTGGGGTTGTTGCGCGAGTTTAGTGAGATTCGGTTGTCGAAGGCTTTAGTTAACACAGAGCCTGGCACGGAGTGAATGCGTAAAAGTTAGTCCGTATTGTTCTTAAAGGTGGAATCGGTCCATCCTCCCCTCCGCCCGGATGCCACAGTCAGGGTCCGGGATTAGAACAGCTGCTAACCTCGCATGCTTCTCTCCTCCGCCCCAGAGAGGTGGAGAAGAGCGAGTGCTTGAGAAAGATGATGATGATGATGATGATGAAGACGAAGATGATGAAGATGATGTGTCAGAGGGCTCTGAAGTACCCGAGAGTGACCGTCCGGCAGGTGCCCAGCACCACCAGCTTAACGGCGAACGGGGACCTCAGAGTGCCAAGGAAAGGGTCAAAGACTGGACGTCCTGCGGAACTCACCAGGGCCAGGATGAAGGGCGGGGGCCAGCCCCGGGCAGCGGCACCCGCCAGGTGTTCTCCATGGCAAACATGAACAAGGAGGGGGGAACAGGTAAGGATCTCTGGGTGGGGGAAAGTGCCAGGTGGGAGGAACTCAGCCCCAAGACAAAGCCAAAGACAGGTTTTTTTTTTCTTTCCCAGCTTCTGTTGCCACCGGGCCAGACTCCCCATCTCCCGTGCCTTTGCCCCCAGGAAAACCAGCCCTACCTGGGGCCGACGGGACCCCCTTTGGCTGTCCGTAAGTTGGGGTGTTGGAGACGTGCGGGTGCTGCGCAGGTATGTGGCACAGCCAGAGGGACCTCTATGTTCACTGGTGTCCGTCTGTTTTGATGCAGTACTGGGCGCAAAGAGAAGTCGTCTGATCCTGTGGAGTGGACAGTGATGGATGTTGTGGAATATTTTACTGAGGCAGGCTTCCCCGAGCAGGCGACAGCTTTCCAAGAACAGGTGAGTTCCCAGCCCCGGATTACACACAGACAGACAGACAGAGGGTCTCTGTGGGACGTGCCCTGACCTGGCTCGCTCTCTCTTTGTCCCTGTGCCACCCAGGAAATTGATGGCAAATCTTTGCTGCTCATGCAGCGCACAGATGTGCTCACCGGCCTGTCCATCCGCCTTGGGCCAGCCCTGAAAATCTACGAGCACCACATCAAGGTGCTGCAGCAAGGCCACTTTGAGGACGACGACCCCGATGGCTTCTTAGGCTGAGCGCCCAGCCTCACCTCTGCCCCAACCCATTCTGGCCCCCATCTCACCCAAGACCCCCCAGAGTCCAGGAGCTGGACATGGACACCCTTGGCCCTCATAACAGATTCCAGGGAGGGGCACCCTGTATGTCCTCATCTTTGCCCCTTCTGTCTCACACACATTTGCCCTTCAGCACGTCGGTGCAGGGAGAGGATTGCTCCTTACACCCCAGGTGGCTGACCCTCCCCACCCAGCCCAGAACATTTTAGGAAAAAAAAAAAAAATGAAATGTGGGGGGCTTCTCATCTCCCCAAGATCCTCTTCCGTTCAGCCAGGTGTTTCCTGTATAAATGTTTGGATCTGCCTGTTTATTTTGGTGGGTGGTCTTTCCTCCGCCTCCCACCACCCATCCCCCTTCCCAGTCTCTGCCCCTGGCCTCCAGCTCCTAGGGGACTACCTGGCTTGGGGTTCCTTGGGTTTTTCCTCTCCTTCCTCTTTTCTTTCTGTTGATTGTTGCTCCAGCTGGCTGTATTGCTTTTTAATATTGCACCGAAGGTTTTTTAAATAAAATTTTAAAAAAAGGAAAAGGAAAAAAAGCCACGGGGTCCATTTTATAAATGGGGCAGGGGAGAGGGCGTTAAAGAGCTTCCTAAGAGAGCCAAAGGTTAGGACAGAATTGTTTGGGGAGGGGGAAAAAAAAGGAAAGGATGAATTATAGCTGCCTCAGTAATTGCTCCAAGGGGGTGGAAATACTTGCTTTTTTTCCTCTGTAATTTCGCCATATCTAGAACAGAGCTAGGCACACGGCAGGTGCTGAGTTTTTTTTGTTTGTTTGTTTGTCGAGATGGAGTTTGGCTCTTGTTGCCTGGGCTGGAGTGCAGTGGTGCGATCTTGGCTCACCTCAACCCTCATCTCCCAGATTCAAGCAATTCTCCTGCCTCAGCCTCCCGAATAGCTGGGATTACAGGCATGCGCCACCATTGCCAGCTAATTTTGTATTTTTAGTAGAGACGGTGTCTCTTTATGTTGGTCAGGCTGGTCTCGAATTCCTGACCTCAGGTGATCCGCCTGCCTCGGTCTCCCAAAGTGCTGGGATTACAGGCATGAGCCACTGCGCCCAGCCCAATTTTTGTTTTCCTTTTAGAGATGGTCTCGTTCTGTCACCCAGGCTGGAGTGCCGTGGTGCTATCATAGCTCATTGCAGCTGCAAACTGCTAGCTCAAGTGATCCTCCCACCTCGGCCTCCTAACTGGGACTACACGTGCACACTGCCACGCCCAGATAAGTTTTAGACATTTTTGTAGAGATGGGGTTCCAACTTTGTTGGCCAGGGTGGTCTCGAGCTCCCAGCTGCAAGCGATTCTCCTCCTGCCTGGGATTACAAGAGTTAGCCACCACGCCTGGCCTCAACTATTGTTGAATGGCTAGCAGTTAAGTTCTTGGGTTTACAAGCATTTTCTCAATTGTCCCCCCCAAATCCCACCTTACAGAAGAGACAACTGGCCCCGAACAGAGATGCTGTCTGCTCGGGGTCACACACAGTGGCGTCTGACACCTGTCTCAGTTATTCACTCAGAGTCTTTTTTTTTTTTTTCACTCAGAGTCTTTATAATTAGTGTGTTTGACATAATGTACATTAAAAAGTATAAACCTGTCAGCCCTTGCCTACTGCAAAGAATCCGCTACAGCTGTCAAGGGCAGGGGCTGTTCTAGAACCATAGTAGGGTTTCCAGGCCTCATGGTCCTCCCCATTAAAACAACAGAAGTGGGCTGGACGTGGTGGCTCACACCTGTCATCCCAGCACTTTGGGAAGCCAAGATGGGCGGATCACAAGGTCAGGAGTTCAGGATCAGTCTGACCAACATGGTGAAACCCTGTCTCTACTAAAAATACAAATATTAGCCGGGTGTGGTGGTGGGTACCTGTAGTCCCAGCTACCTCGGGAGGCTGAGGCAGGAGAATCGCTTGAACCTGGGAGGCGGAGGTTACAGTGAGCTGAGGTCACACCGTTGCACTCCAGCGTGGGCAACAAAAGTGAAACTCCATCTCAAAAAAAAAAAAAAAGGGATTGAGCCATCAGATGGGAAAAGATTTCCAAGTGAAGATTTTGTTTTGAGACCGGGTCTTCCTGTCACCTAGGCTAGAGTGCCGTGGTGCCATCATAGCTGGTGACAACCTCGAACTCTTGGGCACAAGTGATTTTTCTGCCTCAGACAACAGCCGACTAACATTTTATTTTCCTCCGGACGGGGTCTTGCTGAGTTGCTCAGGCTGGTCTCGAACTCCTGGCCTCAAGCAATCCTCCCACCTCAGCTTGCCAGAGTGTCAGGATTACAGGCGTGAGCCACCGAGCCAGGCCTGAAGATTTTTTATTATTTGTTAGTAGTAGTCCTCAGAGCTACTACATCCAAAGTCCCTACTGAGTTCTAAGGCAGTTTCTCAACTCCATTAGAGAGAGAGAAAAAAAAAGCCTGGGCACTTTGGGAGCCAAGACGGGAAATCGCTTGAGTCCAGGAGTTTGAGACCAACCTGGGCAACAGAGAGAGGCCCCCATCTTTATAAAATAAAAATTTTAAATTAAAATGATTTTTTAACAACAGCAACAAAACGGGTTCTGGGAGCGAGAGGCTGGGACTCGGGCCCGGGCGAGCTCATTCCATATACCTGTTTCAGGTGGGGGAAGTTGGAGACACGTTAGAGACCCCTCCACTCCAGGGATCCACTTCGAGAGGTTAAGGTCCTGGCTCTAACCACACCCCCAAGACAAGGCCAGAGGTCGCCTCCCTAGGCGGGTCCCTCCTCCCCACCGCCAGGTTCCCGGAGTGCGCGTGGCGCGTGTGTGGGGGGATGGGGGCCCGCAGGCGCGCGGACAGGAGCGGCGCGCCCCTCCCGCGTGTTGAAATTCAAAAGAGGCCAACTCCCCGCGGGCGCGGCGCGGCGCCGGTGGAGAGGTCAAGGCAGGGTCCAGTCGGAGGCTCCCGGGGCGGGGTCGAACCCGCCGCCGACACCGTGAGCAGCAGCAGAAGCTTCAAGAGCTCAGGTTCCCGCCCTACGACCCTACCATGGCTACGGAGCAGTGGTTAGAGGGGTCGCTCTGCCTGGACCCTGGAGAAACACCGCCTCCAGACGCCTTAGAACCTGGGACGCCGCCCTGCGCAGATCCCTCCTGGTCGACGCCCCCTAGCAGGCTTGGGGACCCACCTGAGCCGGACCCCGAAGATGCTGAGGGGCAGCTGCCTGAAGCCCCAGCCTCCACGCCTTCCCCCGAACCTCTGGTCCCCGGGCCCGGGCCAGCACCACCCCGCCTACCCCTGGAAACTTTGTTCAGCCCCATCACCGAACAGCTGCGCTACCTACTCAAGAAGGCGGATGATTTCCAGAGCTACTTGCTCTACAGGTGATGTTGGACGGGGTCCCAGCTCCTCATGGGTAAAGAGACTTGGAGGGGAGGCGACAGGAGGGGAGCCCAGGAGGTCAAGCCTATAGTGAGCTGTCCCATGATACACGCCAGGGTCGCAAAAATCCCAAAATTAGAAGCGCTAGGAGCCACAGGGAGATAGTGGAAGAAGCTAGCTTATTAAAATCAGTTTCCGAGTGAGCAGGGCTGTAGAATCGCGGGTAGGGGCGGCTACTGTTACTATCCTGGCAGTGTGGGCCTGCGGCTGTCAAATCTCTAGGACTTTCTTCCAGTTTTTAAATGCTGGCTTAGATTTTTGAACCCTGTGCCGGCTAAACAAGACCCACCTGACCCACACTTGGCCAGCAGGACATCAGTTTGAGACCCCAAAGGATAATGTGATTCCCAGACCAGCTTTCCCTGTGGCTCTCCAATTTCAGTGTCCATTGGAATATCCTAGGAGGCTGGGTTTTCTTGTTGGTGGTGGTTTTTTATTTTTGTTTTTGAGACAGTCTCGCTCCGTTGCCCAGGCTGGAGTGCAGTAGCACGATCTTGGCTCACTGCAACCTCCGTCTCCAGGGTTCAATCAAGCAATTCTCTGCCTCAGCCTCCCGGGTAGCTCGGATTACAGGCGCCCACCACCACGCCCGGCTAATTTCTGTATTTTTAGTAGACATGGGGTTTCACCATCTTGGCCAGGCTGGTCTTGAACTCCTGACCTCATGATCCACGGGGCTGGGTTTTGTTTTGGTTTTTGAGACAGTCTCGGTCTGCCACCAAAGCTGGAGTGCAGTGGCGCGATCTCGGCTCACTGCAACTTCCGCCTCCCAGGTTCAAGCGATTCTCATGAGGCTGGTTTTTTATTGAAACAGGGTCTCGCTCTGTCGCCCAAGCTGGAGTGCAATAGCGTAGTCATAGCTTACTGCAGCCTCAAGCTCTTGGAGGCAATCCTCCCGCCTCCACCTCCTAAGTAGCTGGGACTATAGGTGACACCATGCTCAGCTAATTTTTTTGTGTGTGTAGAAACGGGGTCTTGCTATGTTGCCCAGGCTGGTCTGGAACTCCCGGCCTCAAGCAATCCTCCAGCCTTAGCCTCCCAAAACTCTCAGATTGCAGGCATGAGCCACTGCACCCAGCCCCTGTAGGAAGCTCTGGGTCCTAAGTAGAGTCATGAGACTCAGGTGTCAGCTCTTTAACAAGTGTTCTAAACAGGTGTGATGCGGGTGAACCAGAAAGATGTTCAGAAAAGACCTAAAACTGGGGGCCTTTTCTAACAGGGGTCTAGCCAAGGGATACAGGTTGGGGGTGAGTAGAATGGGGAAAACCCGGGGGCAGGGAGAGGTCATGAGGGATTCCAGGCAAAGGCCCCCTTCTTCCTTCAGCAGAGATCAAGTACAGAAGGAGCAGCTGGCCAAGGCCATGCCCACCTTCTTACAGATGTGTGAACCCTACTTCCTGTACCTGGAGGCAGCTGCGAGAAGCGTACCCCCCATCTATGGAGTCCTGCAGGAGCTGGTCCGAAAGGGGGTGTGTGGGAGTTTCTTAAACCCCACGCCCCTTGCCTCTCGAAGCTCCAAGCCTGGGGGGATGGTGGATGGTGGAGGGGGAGGCCGGCTCCTCTCGGGCCAGCTGATCTCACTGTGCCCCCTCTGGTATGCAGCTGTTAGAGATCTCCCAACAGCTGACCCTGCGCCTGGAACAGCTGGTCCTCATGTACGCTTCCTTTGGGTTTGTGGACCTGGAGGAGACGAACCCCCTTAGGTATAACGGCTGGGGACTCGGATGGGGGTGGTGAAGGGGTCCAAGGCCCAGCCTCACCCCTGCATTCCCTCGTGTCCTGCCAGCATCTCCTGTTTCTTTTGCGGGAGGTTCTCCATCAGCATGTCCTGCGAGGTATCCATCTTCAGATACTGTGCCCCAGCTGCCTACACTGCCAGCCGCTTCCCCCGATACCTCTATAAGAAGATGCGCTGGCACCTGGAAACCATCCCAGAGGCCCCTGGTCGGGGACAAGATTCCCTTGTGGATTAGTAAGTCCTCTTACCCAAATTGAATTCCTCCCCTTTCTATGATGAATGCCAGTATGGGCCTCAAAATTGTCACCACCAAAGTGAAAACTGGGCAGGGCGTGGCATGGTGGCTTAAGCCTGTAATCCCAACACTTTGGGAGGCTGAGGCAGGAGGATCATTTGAGCCCAAGAGTTTGAGATCAGCCTGGGCAAGATGGCAAGACCCTGTCTTAACAACAACAACAAAATTCGCCAGGCATGGTATGGTGGCTGGCAGCTGGAGTCCCAGCTACTTGGGAAGGAGGATCACTTGAGCCCAGGAGTTCGAGGCTATAGTGAGCTGTGATTGTGCCACTGCACTCCAGCCTGAGTGGGAGCAAGAATCTGCCTCTTTAAAAAAAAAAAAAAAAAAGTGAACCAGGAAACAAGGCTTTTGAAAGGCTACCGCTATTTTCTTAAAACTCACCCTCCCACCAAAATAAAAGTCCTCATCTTAAAAAGAGGCTGGCTGGGAGAAAAGGCCTTGGAGTCACATCCCTACCTGAGAACTTCCGATGAGTTTCCACCTCACCTCCAAAATTAAAGCCCTCAACAGAAGAAGCTAGGAAACTGATCACTTCTAATTACAGCTCCCTCCTCTCCCAGCTACTTCCTGTGCTATCGAGATACTTGGGAGGACACAGGCCACAGTCCAGCCAATCCGTGCCCGCAGATCCAGAAGCTGTGGTCCATCGGCAGATGGGTGTCCCTGGGACCAGCCGAGGATGACCTTTATTCATGGTAGGAGCTAGGGCAATAGCAAAGCGGGCTTGGGTGCTGGAGGCGGGAGGCAGAACCCCTTCAAAGACAATTCACCTTCCCAAATACTTTGCTTCCCTTAGTAATGATAGCACCATATTGTGCCCTGAAAAGCACTCACGCAGACCCCAGTAACAACCCCAGTAACAACCCATCGAGGTCTAAGCTACTGGCCCCATTTAACAAAGAAAACAGGGTGCTCAGAGAAGTTGTTACCTGCCCAAGGACACACAGCTAGCAGGGCGATTGGACAGGTCAGGACCAGTTATTTAGCCTCCGGGAGCCATTACTAAGTTTCTGATCAACAAGGAAACAAGTTTCCCCGGGGGTTTTTCCCACCCGCAGCTGGAACAAAGCTTCTTTCAGCTGACGCCTCTCACTCAAAGGGAGGGACTCCCGAGAGGCAGGGGGCACTCAAGTCCAGGCCTGTCTCTCCCTGGTCCCCCCCACCACAGGATTTTGTGCCCGCAGCCTCTTGGGGACTACCAGCAGCTGCTGACCATCGGCTTCGAGGAGCCCTCGCCCATGCTGGCCACCGACCTGCTGGTGCAGATCCTCACGGGCCAGGCAGGCCAGGCCCGGCCTCCGAGCACAGCCGGGCCCGCGGGGTGGGCGGCGCAGGGGTCTTGAATCTGGGGAAGAGGGTAGGAGCTGGAGCTTGACAGTTCCAAACTCCAGGAGAGGGGGCAGGGGAGGGGCTCGTTCTCGCAGTGCAGCCCGGCCTCGCCTTCCAAAGGGCCAGGCCGAGCTGACCTGTCTGCACCGAGATCGGCCCAGCCGTGGGGCCCAGAATGCGGACATGCCAGTTTTGTGTTAAATAAAAGAAAGAAAGAGGTCACAGGCTCAGCGTCCGCTGGGAGCACCGCGCCCCTCCCTCTGGGGTGGGGATTCCCCGCCCGCTTGCGTGGCCTTCTGGGAAATGTAGTATTTTGAGAGAAGTCCACAATCCACCAATAGGCGGATGAGAGTCTGGCGCATGCGCATAGGCGCACATGAAGCAAAAAGGGAAGCGGTGCCTGTCAACAACCGGAACCCAGGAAATCTCAAGTTTCGGGTAGCGAGGGAATTCAACGCCCACTGGAGGGAAAGACTTAAGGTTACGCCCACTCCCGTATTTTCACCCGGAAGTTATTTCTTTATATCGTAAAAGAACTACTTTTCCCGAAGTGCCCCAGGAAACTACCCTCGATCAGTTTCCGAAGGCCCCGAGTTAGACTTTTTTTTTTTTCTCTTCTAGCGTTTGGGACTTGGAGGCCGCACAGGTCGTCGTCTTTCTTGGGGTATCCGGGGTGCGGGCGAGGTCGGGGAGCCCTATGGAATCCCAGCCTAGGATCTCTTAACCTCTCTCCAACCTCGGACTGGAGAGGAGACCCTGGCTGAGAGAAATGAACTCACCTGCTCGAAGCTCCTGCGAGCAAGTGGTGGACCTTGGACCTGAACCGAGTACTGTGGCCGCTTGCAAGGGAAAGGGTGTCGTCCTGAGCCAGGTGTCACTCAACTGTGGGTTATCCCCCTTTAATCCAAGGGGGTCACTTTTGGTTCCCCTCCCCTCAACATTTTCATAGAGGAGACACCCAGAGCCCTGTCCTTATTTATGATTTTGAGCAAAGCGCCCATCTTCAGTCCCTGGCACATAGTATTATCCTCCGTTTCCAGATGACAAAAAAGGACGTGAGAGGTGGTAAAATGAATCAATATTAGATTGGATGCCAACATTATTGCTCGGACAATGTTTTTTTTTTTTTTTTTTTTTTTTTTTTTTTTTTTGAGGTGGAGTATCAGGCTAGTTGCCCAGGCTGGAGTGCAATGGTGTGATCTCGGCTCACTGTAACCCCCACCTTCCAGGCTCAAGCGATTCTCCTGCCTCAGTCTCTGGGGTAGCTAGGATTACAGGCAAATGCCTCCACGCCCAACTAATTTTTGCATTTTTAGAAGAGATGGGGTTTCGCCATGTTGGCCAGGATGGTCTTGAACTCCTGACGTCAAGTGATCTGCCCACCTCAGCCTCCCAAAGTGCTGGGATTACAGGCGTGGCCCACCAAACCCCGCCACTATTGCTCTTCCGTGGGGGTTTCTGGTGACAATTTCTGACTGCATCAAGAATGCTTTTTAGTCCACAGTCCTCGTCTGAATGACATGAAATCCTGATGCTCCTTGATATCGCTTTGAAGGAGGCCCTGTGAGTTTTCTCATGTCTCTAAGATTTTTGGGGGGTAGGGAAGATCTTGCCCTGTCACCCAGGCTGGACTGCAGTGGCACAATTATGGAACCTCCATCTCCTACAACCTCTATCTCTTGGGGTAAAGAGATCCTCCCACTTTGGCCTCCCAAGCAGCTGGTAGTACCAGCAGCACCGATGCCTCTGCCTTTTGTTGTTGTTTGTTGTAGAGACAGAGTCTCGCTGTGTTGACCAAGCTGGCCTTCAACTCCTGGCCTCAAGCTATCCTCCTGCCTTGGCCCCCCAAAGTGCTGGGATTACAGGCATGACCCATCCCGACCGGCCTTTAAGATTCTTTAGACTCACAGGGTCCAATGGAAATAGCAGGTGAGTTTAGACTGGGCACGGTGGCTCACCTCTGTAATCCCAGGACTTTGGAAGCCTGTGGTGGGTGGATCATGACGTCAAGAGATTGAGACCAGTCTGGCCAACATGGGGAAACTCCATCTCTACTAAAAACACAAAAATTAGTTGGGCGTGGTGACGCATGTCTGTAATCCCAGCTTCTCAGGAGATTGAGGCAGCAGAACCACTTGAACCCGGGAGGTGGAGGTTGCAGTGAGCCGAGATCACGGCACTGCACTCCAGCCTGGGAGGCAGAGTAAGATTCCATCTCAAAAAAAAAAAAAAGAGATCTAGTATTTCACGTTTACAATATATCTCAATTCAGACTAGCCACAAACACCTCTAAACAGTCTACTTTAAGTCAAATCCAATGTCTGCTCAAGACAGGGTTTCGGGTGGGTGGTGACAGTAAGTCCTGGAAGGGGAAGGAAACACGCTTTGTTTCCTGGGTCCTGTGGCTCAGCAGCTTTCTACACCCTTGATTCTCAAACTTCCTGATGTGCATCAGAATCACATGGAGACTTTGATCATTAGATCTGGGATAAGACCCAAGAAAGTGCTGCTTTTTTTTTTTTCTCTCCTTCTCTCTTTTTTTTTTTTTCCCCCAGATGGAATCTCACTCTGTTGCCAGGCTGGAGTGTAGTGGTGCGATCTTAGCTCACCGCAACCTCCGCTTCCCAGGTTCAAGCAATTCTCCTGCCTCAGCCTCCTGAGTGGCTGGGACTACAGGCACCTGCTACCACGCCCAGCTGATTTTTGTATTTTTAGTAGAGATGGGGTTTCTCCATGTTGGTCAGGCTAGTCTCGAACTCCTGACCTCAGGTGATCCACCTGCCTCAGCCTCCCAAAGTTCTAGGATTACAGGTGTGACCTCTCTCTCCCTCTTTATTTTATTTGGGACAGAGTCACGCTCTGTTGTCAGGCGCCGGGCTGGAGTACAGTGGCGTGATCTCAGCTCACTGCAACTTCTGCCTCCTGAGTTCAAGCAATTCTTCTGCCTCAGCTTCCCGAGTAGCTGAGACCACAGGCACACGCCACCATGCCCAGCTAATTTTTGTATTTTTTAGTAGAGATGGGGTTTCACCATGGTCTTGATCTCTTGACCTTGTGATCTGCCCACCTCGGCCTCTCAAAGTGCTGGGATAACATTTTTTTTATTAAGACTTTGTCCGTGCTAGTATATACAATGGAGTGTTGGGGGGGGCGGGGAAGAAGACTTTGTCTTGCTGCATTGCCCAGGCTGGTCTCCAACTTCTAGACTCAAGCAGTCCTCCCACCTCAGCCTCCCAAAGTGCTGGGATTACAAGCATGAGCCACTGCACCTGGCCCCTGAAGGCGCATGTCTAGCAGTTCCCCAAGCATCTCGGATACTGCTGGTCCTGCCACTACTGTGAGAACTGCTGTTTTACACTTCCTTCATGGTTCTCACTCAGCTGCACATTGGAATCACCTGGGAGCTTCAAAAAATACTGATGTCAAGCCCTTCCCCCATCTGACTTACTTCACATACAGAGGCCTCCAGTTGAGTTTAACATTCAGGAAAGTTACAGAGTCCCCCATCTATACTTTGTGTGTGTGTGTGTGTGTGTGTGTGTGTGTGTGTGTGTGTGTGTGTTTTGTTTTGTTTTTTGAGATGGAGTTTCGCTCTTGTTGCTCAGGCTGGAGTGCAGCGGCTTGATCTCCACTCATTGCAACCTCCACCTCCCAGGTTCAAGCCATTCTCCTGGCTCAGCCTTTCGAGTAGCTGGGATTACAGGCAAGCACCACCACGCCCAGCTAATTTTGTAATTTTTTTAGTACACACAGGGTTTCTCCATCTTGGTCAGGTTTGTCTGCAACTCTCAGCCTCAGGTGATCAGCCCACCTCGGCATCCCAAAGTGCTGGGATTACAGGTGTGAGCCACCGAATCCAGCCCCTGTCTATACTTAGTAGTCCTGTCCACTCTTTTTTTAGACGAATGATTCTCCTGCCTCAGCCTCTTGAGTAGCTGGGACTACAGGAGCGTACCACCACGCCTGACTAATTTTTCTATTTTTTTTTTTTTTTTTTTTTTTTTTTTTAGACACAGGATTTCACCATGTTGGCCAGGATGGTCTCGATCTCTTGACCTTGTGATCTGCCCGCCTCGGCCTCCCAAAGTGCTGGGATTACAGGCGTGAGCCACCGCACCAGGCCTTAATTTTTCTATTTTTTAGTAGAGATGGCATTTTGCCATGTTGGCCAGGCCGGTTTGGAACACCTGACCTCAGATGATCCACCTGCCTTGGCCTCCCAAAGTGCTGGGATTACAGGCTTGAGCCACCATGCCCTGCCCCTGTCCACTCTTGATAGACTTAGTTCTTGGCTCCCCTGCTGGAAATGAAGCCCAGCCTCCAGGTGTTTCCATTTTCCACTTCTCAGGCTCAATCCCGCCTGTCTCTACATATCTTCCACAGTCACGGTGAAGTATGCTGAGGAGCGGGTAACTGTGTCAATGATGGATGGGGTCAGGTGATGAGCCCTTCTTGGCTGACCTGCTCTTGGGTGCAGCCCTGTATGGGCGTGACCTCTCTGTATTTTATGCCTAAGGATTTCACTAGATATTTGATGTATCTATACAAGAGACAGAGTTAGACAGAACCAAGAATTTTTTTTTTTTTTTTTGAGACGGAGTTTCGTTCTTATTACCCACGCTGGAGTGCAATGGCACGATCTCGGCTCACTGCAACCTCCGTCTCCTGAGTTCAAGCAATTCTCCTGCCTCAGCCTCCCGAGAAGCTGGGACTACCAGCATGCGCCACCATGCCCAGCTAATTTTTGTACTTTTAGTAGAGATGGGGTTTCAACATGTTGACCAGGATGGTGTCGATCTCTTGACCTCGTGATCCACCTGTCTCGGCCTCCCAAAGTGCTGGGATTATAGGCGTGAGCCACCACGCCCGGCCTAAGAATTTGTTTTTTGAGACAGAGTCTCACCCTGTCGCCCAGGCTGCAGTACAATGGCTCAATCTCGGCTCACTGCAACCTCCGTTTCCTGGGTTCAAAAGATTATCCTGCCTCAGCCTCCCAAGTAGCTGGTGCCTCCCGCCACCACGCCCAGCTAATTGTTTTGTATTTTTAGTAGAGACGGGGTTTCACCATGTTGGCCAGGCTGGTGTTTTGTTTAAGACAGAGTCTCAGCCGGGCGCGGTGGCTCAAGCCTGTAATCCCAGCACTTTGGGAGGCCGAGGCGGGTGGATCACGAGGTCAAGAGATCGAGACCAACCTGGTCAACATGGTGAAACCCCGTCTC